TCAGCCGTTCTTTCTAGGATGTGTCGACGTCTGAGTCAAAAGGGTATCCGGGCAGTACGGACTGCTGATCCTACATTGGCTGAGGTTTCCCCTACTCTGAAGAAGTTCGATGCTGTCTTCTGCCTCAACGTGTTGGACCGGTGACTCTTCAGTGGTGTCACCATCCATGTAGTGGTCATAATGCATCAGGTGCAAGTCTCCAAAGGGATTGTTGAATCGCATAGCAGAACTGGTGAGGGCAGTCAGCTGATGACTCTGTTGAAATACTACCAGGTGGCCCCAGGAGGTACGGTAGTGGTAGCAGTCCCTGTGCCACTCGCTCAACTGGATGCCTTGTCGAGCAGCAGTCAAGACGAGCAACAAGCGCTTGTAAGGACGTGGTATCAGTCGGCCTCTTCGTGGAGTGCAAGGCTGCTTTATTCCGTATTACGTGCAGACATTCGCGTACAGTGTGGGGAAATACATTTGTTAGTGACAATATGAGAATTCTGGGAAATCATTCTCTGTATATCGTTACTTGAAGTCGTACATGAACTCATACTTCAATTAGTGAGGAAACTCCGCTCTGATAAAATCAGCTGAAGAAAGTGAACATAAGTCCCGACACTTGTTTCTGCTGATGCCAATGGCAGCCTTGGAGTGGCATACATCAGGTCCTGTCGTGTAATGCGTCCTTTGAGGAAGCAGCGCGGTGCTTGTGGTAAGCCTACGTCCATATAGATGAATGGGAGATGGTCTCAGGAATGAGTATTTGGGACCTACGGGGTTCTTCACCCTAGCAGCCTTCACTCGGTGTCCCTACCTCTGCACTGGTCCCATCGCCGATCCGATCCTGCCACTGGATGATGCCGTTTTCGTCCTTACCAGAGTTTCTGACTCTCAATCCTGAGTTTCTGTGCTGTCAGCGGGACAGTGTTGTCATCTGGGGGTCCCTGGAATTAACATCGATGTGGACACCGTTGTTGCTGTGGACTGTGCTATACAAGACTTCAGACGTGATTGCTGACCATCCCGACGTGGTTTAATAGGTGCTCTTTATGTAGCGTCATGATAAGTTCCATGGTGAAGATCTAAGTATGGGTATGGCCAATGGCCATTGGCCATTGCCATGCCTGGAGGATGCTTGTGAGGGATTACCATATTTAATAGTTGTTTGAATCTTTCGGTTTTTGTGTTGTACTAGTGTTAACAAGCTAACCATGTTGCTTGTGCGAATGTACTCATCGGGAGCCCCTTGTGGCTACTCCCATGTGACTCTCCGTCCCGAGCTATGCATACCGGCGATATGCAAGTCTCACGGATGACGGAAAACCTATCCCGCATCAACAAAGCCCCGCCCGGCGCCTGAACTTTGACGTCGGAAAGCAGTACAGAGTGGTAGCTCGAGTTGAGATCCCTCTTGAAGCTCTTTGGATCGGAGGGGAGATGAATTTGATATAACCGCTCCGATAAACAGCAGATATTGCAATTCTGAATCGTACACATGGGTACGCTGCCAGAAGCCGAGGAAATGCGCATCTGACAACTATAAAACTAATAGAGGATATGTCTCGGCCAGAAATAAACCCTAAAATTTTAACGACAGTCTGGCCGAGCGGTCTAAGGCGCCAGCTTCAGGCGCTGGTCCGAAAGGGCGCGAGTTCGAATCTCGCGGCTGTTACTTTTGTGTCTTCCGCCAGGAGAGATCATATATAGTAGATACTGCTTTTTATTTCGACTCAACATTAAACATAGCATCTTTGTCTGTTGACATGACCTTCGTGAGGTTGGAACCCAGGCCTTCCAGATCGGCTAGGGATCGAGCAAGGTTTCTGTTCACTCCAAAATGCAAAACACCCGACCCCAGCGTGCGCGTCCCCATTGCGCTGGAGACACAGAGACAGAGAGCGCTACCCCTATATCCTTGCCCTCCCTTCCTTTGCAATCACTACCCCACAGCGGACTAATTCTCGCTCGCAAGGAAGCTCAAACAGAATAAGGGCTAAGTTTACTATATGAGCCACAGCCCGCCGTGGCCTAGTCTCCCATATGTCGACCTCGATGGTCAAATAGGAGGGTTCACTCTACCCCAATGGACACAACAAAAACTACACCTCACTTCGACCAGACAATCGTGGTACGCCCCTAAGGCTACAGCCGAGCTGCACCAATTCGATAGTGCTGGTGTGACACTGTCACTTCAACGGGAGGTCTTTAATGCTGACCGTTGGCCGTATCGGGTTGCAGTCCCGCCCATAGTGCCGACACAGCTTATCGCTGCAAAGGTCAATCGGGCCTCGCGGACACTAGGTGCATCTGCCTCATACATTTGACTACCACCCGCACAAAAACTTCGCTTTCTTGGCAAGATATACACGGTTCGGTTTCATCAGGCCCGAGTAGATTCGCCTCTTCGGGCGACAAGGCAAGCGAGAGTCGACCCTCAGTAGGGCCCTATTGTGATGTCAGGCCGGCTGTGGTCTGCTAGATGCTGATGGCTGGACCATAACAGCCTATGCCACTGCCTCGCCTGCTGCTGCTGCTGGATGGTGGATCCATCTCTGTCAATTCACATACTCCTGCAGTCTTAACAACGCGACAGTAGTTAAAACCTACAACAAGGGTTGTGTAAGGCCGAGTACGACCACCGACTCTCTGCACGTTGGACAGACTCCAGCGACTGACGCTGCACATATCATACATTCCCACATCATCTCCACTGCTGATCGAATTTTGTGGCGCGTGACGCCAAACTCAGGCCTCACCCATATTGGCAGCGGCAGCTTCGATCGATCTGACCGGCCTTCTACGGAGCAGCTCTTCCGCTTTCATATCGTGATCTCCATCGGACTCCTCTGATACCACTCCTCGGTGATCCTTTAGTTTTCTATTCAGTTTCCGCACATGCGTCATTAGGAATGTGAAATTAACTGCTAGCAATGTGAGCTGTAGTATAGTGATGACATATGGTGCCCAAAATGGGTACACTGCCCCTTCAAAGGGAAACCAAGCTTGGTAGAGAACGGACAGGCTCCACAGTGAGAATAGCAACCGCGATATGCCATACACTAGGACAAATACGACGTAGTGGTTGAGGGACTTATGAGCATTGTAGTAGTTGTACATTATTGACCCCGACTCGGCGACTAGGATGTTCACGGCGTTAGCCAAGGCAAAGGTGTTCATGTATTCTGATACGAAGAAACCTGAAATATGGGAAACTATCGATGGAAAAGCTAAATGAACTCACCACTGAGAGCCACACTATGATGAAGGATGAAATTGTGTTCCCAGGCTAAGGAGTGAATTATGTCGTATAGGAAATAACCAATATTAAAATGCTGCAAATGTGTGGCAAAAGGGAGCTCCGTGTTGGACCTGAGCGACTCTATGAGATTGTCTACGATAGTTGGGCTTACCCGTAGACAGCCCTAGTCGAGAGAGATCCCCATTCAGCAACCATACAGGCTATGGCCGCGACAATGGATATACTGTGATGGAACATGGAGGTGTACTCACAAGACTTTACTAAACATCTAGTGCGGTACATGTTGACGAGGAATACCAAGCCGAACATGCACAAGGGCACGAGGATGGACGTTGGGTCGTCGATGATGATGATGGCGCTACTAGGGGAAGGAGAAGGAGGAGACAGCATTGGCAGTAGGGGGAATGGAAAACAATGAAGAGCTATATGTGAGGGGTAAAGGATCGTCTGTAATCAGAGAATATATAAGTGACGACATAGATATTCCTATAAGGATTCGAAATGCGATCTATTAGCCACACCCTCTACCCAACTGGATGCCAATGCCCCCCCTTGTCCCTGCCAGTAGATAGCTGTCATTGGGTTTTTAGATGCAATCGAGAACGCAAAGGGTCCTGTAAAGGTCGATACTAAGAAACATATACGGATAGAGTTAGCAGTACAGAGGTAGTGAACTCGGCAGGGCCGACCTACGCTGCTTCCCACTGCTGCTACTACTGATGTTTAGCTTGCTGAGTTAGCCTCTTCTGCATGAACACATTGGTCTCCATCATATTCTGGGCACAGCGCCACAGACAGGTCTGCTCTGAAGTGGACAGGGACTTGCCCGGGGTCTGATATAAATGATGATGAATGCCTCTAGTGGTGTATATAGCCACTTACCGATACGCATTTGTCGAAGCATAGACCGGTGAGTTTGACCATAGTCTTCTGACTTTCTATGATCATATTCAACTGCATCATCTGCTGCTGAGCAGCCTTGCGGTCCTCAACGCTGTGGTCACTACTATACGAGGATGCTGTGTCCATTATGAAAACAGGAAACTCTAATTTGTTATTCTCCAGGTGAGCTCAAGCCAGGTAGTAAAAACGACTACTATAAAGGAGCCATAAACCAACGTTGTAGATGCATGAAATCTTTCGAGTGCGTTGAGCTCATTACCAACGACAGCAGTAGCTCCTTAAAATCTGTCCTAACTCCCGAAGATTGGTCACTACTAAACTTTGGTGACACAGTGTCATCACCATCCGCTCGTGTCACCACAGAGTTTGCAATTGATATGTGAGATCCCTGAGGCCGCAGGCGGGCTCAACAAGGAAGGATCAGATAATCTTGCAATCTTACGTTATCTTGCATTTCCTCAACTATGAATGTAAATATCGCTTTCGCCCGAGCGATCCATAGCCTTTGTTCGCATAGTCTGGAGTCGACCTATAC